TTTTTTGATTACATTTCTGCCACCAGAGGCTCCCCCTCATAAAGATAAATCCATCCGCCGCCCCCTTTAAGATACTCCCTCTAATACAAAATTGGTTTGATGGGCGTTTTTTGTGGTGGCTTGTGTTTTAATTACTCTGTACTACGAATCAGAGAAGAAAATGCTAATTTCAAATACACAAAAAAATATTTATAATATTTTTTAAGTCAAAAAAATTGAACAAAATAATTTTGGCAAGCTTATTGTTGGCTTAAGGGTAAGTTTAAATATTGAAAATTTACATTTGGAATTACATAATATATTTTCAAATTTTCCAAGAGTATTTAAAATGCTTTTATTGCATTTTTTAACTAATTATGCAATTGAATCCAATCAATTATATGGTTTTTTGAGTATTAACGTATTGACTTATATAATTTTTTTATTGAAAATCATTTATTAATTAAGGAAACCCCTTCGAGCGTTAAGATCCGCACTTTCTGGCCAGCTGTTGCTGTCCTGCTGGTTCCCTAGATAAATTTTTCGTTGAATAAGGAAAACAGTTATTAACAATTTCCAGTTCATTAAATTTAGCTTTTTGGGTTCATCGATTGCCATAAACAAGTAACCAAGAAGCGGGGCGAAATAAATATAAAACTTGCAAGCTGTTGACACAGAAATTCAATGAACTCGTTTCGCACAAGTCAAAGGCCTCAAAAAAAATGAATTTAAACAAAGTTTGCATTATTTTTCACGATGCTTGGTTTTCAGCTCACTTTTTTTTTGAGGGCCTCTCCTCTTCATTTGCTAAATGATCCATAAAGTATTTTGGTAGGGGATAAATTGCAGACTCAGCTCAAAATTGGGCAAACACAATTTCGTTTTATAAAGCAATATTTGAGCAAGAAAATTTGCAATGGCCTTGAGTTTTATAGATTCTCTTGTCGTAAAGACAGACATTTAATGATTTCATCTGGAATCTATGAAGTTCATGCTGACTGAGCAGTGATTGAGATTTTTAAGAATTTAAGGAGGGTATTATATGGCTTTAAATGCTCTTTTTGAGGCACTTCTCTTACCAAAAATTTCCTACAAACATTTTAATAAAGTAAAATTAAACATTCATTACTGGCTTCATCAGCTTTAAGCTGAATATACTGCTTTCATCTCACCAAATCAGATAAGACTTATTTGCAGCCACATGCCCAACCTCTTTAGCTTCTCAGACGATGATCATTCTGCCAAAGTTCAACTGCCTTTCGTTTTAAGTCGACCCACTAAAGACAAAAGAATCGGAAACTAAGGGAAAAATGAGTATAATATATGTTAATCAAGTATAGAATATAAGATGCCCATCTTTTCAGTGTTTTAAATGTTTTTTGTTATTAAAAAAGTCATTTAAAATTGAAAACTAGAAACAAGTTAGGCTTTCTTAGGGGTCTTAATGAAGTTCTTAAACTCCTTGTCTAAGAAATATTTATTTTTTGTATATAAATATACACCAAGCTCCCTTCACTTACCCAGGAATTACTGGGTATTTTGGGGCCAATCTGCGAACAGCAAAAACGACACGTCTGGTGGTACCGCAAAAGAGGCTGCCCAAGTCGATTCAGACACAAAAGCCGGGGCCCCAACAATTTGGGTCAATTGACTCACAAGAAGCGAGAAAAAAGCCAGTCAACAACAACAACAACTAAAGCAACAAAGAGATGAAATAAAACTTGTTCTCAACGGGCTCTGACAATAATAACCGCAAAAAAAAACTACGTGAGTTCCTCTCACAGATAAAATCCGCCCAATATGTGGCCTGTCCGTCCATCTAATCAATAGAATATAGGAAATAAAAATCAGCCAATTGCCTGGGAAATTGTCGCATAAATCACTCAAAACTGTCGTTGTCGTCGTCAACTGCATTTATTTATGGCGGTCACTGTACACTGTACACTGCACAAAGAAGAGGGCCGTCTCCTAATCGATTTACAACTTGATTTGTCTTGAAAGCCAATCTAAAGATAATATATAATTTAATTGCTACAGCAAAAAGTGGGCGAGAGCTACCAGAAAACTCTTTTGGAATTGGACTTGACTTGATTGGAGTTTCCCCCCTTTCCCTGCTCTGCTTTTCCACGGTGAAAAGAGAGGAGAAGACACTGGCCCATATGTGGGCATTGCTGGTAGTCTCAATTATTTATTTCTTGTTGTTCAGTTCGTGCCAGTTGATATATGTATATTACCCTACTTGTTTATTGACAATATGTTAACACTTATTTATAGACTGATCGGTTTTTTTTATTTTCGCTTTCCTCGACCCCGACTCGAGCAATTAAACATGTTAACAAAACGATAATGTTGACACTTTAGTGCTGATTGCGATTATAAACTCTGTGATTTGTTAATGGCTGATGCTACTGTTTTAAAAACATTCAGTCTTTAAAGTTCTCCTCTTACCTTTATTACTTTAAATTCCCAAAAGTTTTTCCCAAAACCTCGCACTAACTCTTCTTTCTCTAGTTTTTGCAGTTTTCTCAGCCGTTGCAAATTGAAGAATTTTCGCAATTTTTGGTCACCTGCTTGGGCTGGCATCTTCCAGCAGATTATGCAAAGGAAAATGCAGCAATCGGCATCAGAGAAAAACCATAGTAGAAGCAGAAAATTGTTCAACTCCATGAGTCTGGGGGGGTATATCTTCTTTTGTTTGCCGTTTTTCATCGCCGCTTTTCCACGCTTTCCGCCACACTTTTTTGGATTCATTCAAGCAGAGGTTTTGAGGGTTCGCCATCGTCTTCTCGGTGTGTTTTTCATTTGAATTTTTTTTTTTCCTTTGCCCGCTTTGTATCTGTAATCACTTAGTCATTGTTTTGTTGTTGCTACCTTTTTGCGCATTAATTACAAGTATTTCCTTGTTTCGCTATTTAATTAACGCTGCCGCATATACAAAGGCGTACGAGTGTATATAACCACAACCACAATCGACCCACTAACATTTATCGCTCGCCAGTAGATAAACTCACCTTGGGCCTAATGAAATCATTTCAAATTACACGACGCCATCTCTGCTTATCAATCTGGGCGATGAGTGAGTGAAATTGGCAAACCATCACTTGGATCGTGAATCATTAGCTTTTAATGCCTCCCGTAGACGTCACTCCACCATTATTGGTCTGTCAATTGTCAACCGTTTTTGGACTACAAAACTTCTCCCCCTCCCTGCATCTTAAATGATCTGTCAATAGGCGTGGAAGTGACGAACTTTTCGCTGTCACTGTTGATTCAATTGATTTGCAGATTTGTTTAATTGCTTCAGTGATTCGGATTGAGTTAGCGATTGTGTTTGAGTTTGAGTCGAGCCATCAGTCGCAGGCAAAGTTAATTAGACGTGCAAGTGTTTAATGCTTAATGAGTTTGAGATTTAATTTCCTGAAAATGAAGAAATAGCAAAATAAAATTTACTTTGGGGGAACAATTTTGAATAAACTTCCCAGCAAGCAATATGAGCGTTTTCTGACAGTTTTCTGATAGTTTTTTATGAGCATTTATAATCATCAAGTGCGCAAAAAAGTGTCCGGAAGGAGCATGTTTCCCCTTGAAAACGGTCGTCATTATAAGAGGGCCATTTCTGAGTCTAATAAGACTCTTTTTGGACTGAGAAATAAGTGCTTTCAGCTCCGAAAATGATCACACATATGAGCTCTTTTTGAGCCTATTTGGAACAACCCCCAAATTTGCTCAGAAAATGCTCTTTTTTATGTGCTTACTCAGAAAACACTCTTAAAATAGGCTCTTTTTGGGGCACATAATTTAGAGCCCTCCTAACTTTGCTTGCTGGGTTCAGGGAAAACCCTAAATGTAATACGTTTTTATTATAATTAAAACTCTTTTGTTATTCTACTATTATTTTTTATCAAAATTAGTGTTGCAAGTTAGAATTCAAACCTCTTTTGAATACATTTACCAATCCTTTTCTCTCCTAAAACTGTAATCTCATCGCATTTACTAACTTGCCAACATTTAAGCCACTTTAAACTAAGTAAATTGATTAGTTTGCTGCTAGTTTGCTCTCGCTTTTCCTCTAAACTCTTGATTATTTTACAAGTTTCTGGTCGTCACTCGACGTCGTTGAAATCAATTTACCAGCACCGACAAAATAGTTAGCCCCAAGACAAGCAGCCGCAGCTCTTCAGGCAGCAAATTGACATTGTTGCAGTTGAAAGCCTTCAGTCGCCTTGAACCTCGAATCATATTTTATTCAGCGGAAACTGGGAAAAAGAATTGAAAAACCGTGGGGAAAACTTTGCTTCTGAGGAAGGTGCAAGGAGTGTGGGTGGAAATTGGCCAAGCACCGACAGCCGGAAAAGTGTGCTTAAGGCAAACTGTGAAAAAAGAACAGAGGTGAAAAAAGGTCCTTTCTATGCATTTTTGCCATTTCCCATAAAATGGATTAAGTGGGGGAAAGTTTTGATTAAATTTGTATTTCTGACTGAATTTGAATGGCTTCTCATTAGGGGTTTATATTAAAAACTAGAAAACGATGGTTGTTAAATTTACATAAATTAATAAATTGTTTAAAACTAAATTTTCCAATATACTAATTTTAATTCCCTTTCCTTTACAGCTTGCTGTCTGCTAAAAACAAAAGCCAACTGCAACCATTGCTTCCAAGACACAGATTCTAAAATTGCCATAAAACTAAATATATATAAAGCACCTAAATTTAAAGAATTAACAAAATTAACTGCCAAATCGTCGATCCAAATGCGGTCGCTCCAAAGTATGCAGCGGATATTGTGAGCTTTCCGGAACAACGAGAGCTTTGAGCTGTACTCAGCTCTGCTCAAAGCTGCGGCCAGCGGATCCACCAACCGCCCGACGCTCGCGTATAAGTGTTCGAACCCCGGCTGAACAGTTATCATGGACGCTCCAGATGTGGGACGCATTATAAGAGCGCCGGCGAGGCGCAAGCGTAACGATGAACAATTAATGGATAGGGTAAGTCTTGATGACCACAATTGCATTAACCAGCAAATTAGATATAAGAGATTACTAGATATAAGAGAGATCTCGTGATCCACAAAGGATTCGGTTGAATTTAGGATCTCGACAAAAAAGGAAAATGATTAAGAAGGTTTAGTTTACTTACACAAAAAACTCAGCTTATAAAACAATAAATAAAAACCATTACTTGATTCCTTCATTCCTGACACATATTGACTATTAAAAGTGAATTTTAAGTCTCAGGATCTCGGCATCCACATAGGGTTCGGTTATAAAAATTGGTATGTGAACTTTAAAGATCTCCACAATAAAGAAAATTACTTAAAAAGTTTAACTTGCCTATAAGACTCTAAAAATATGCTGCGTATTTTAAAATGGTAATGTTTTTTTTTTTAGTTTTTGTTTAATATAACACCTTTCTTTAATGAAAAGACTGTTGGTACAATATGCATTTGTTGAGACGTCTCCTTTCGCTGCCTTTCATTGAACTCGATCTGCCGATCGTTTGGGGGTTTGAATGGCTCAAAGTCGGTTTCGTTGGTGAGTTTGTTTGTCACCGTCGAATCCCGCTTAAATGAGCGACCGCCTGCAGCGAGTGTGATCCAGTTTCCCAAGCGTTTTTTGTTTATCTTCTTGGCCTGCAGCGGAAAATGGAAAGTTGCTCGCTGCATTCAGCCGAACTTCGCCCACAAACTGCAGCTCTCGAATGGGTTGTGTCATTTATTTTTATATATTTTTCCCGATTGTTATACATTTTTTTTTTCACCCATCTGTCTGAGTTTTGATTAATTTGCTTGCATTCAACAAAAAGTATTTTTACTTTTCAAATGCTGACTGGCCATGAGTTGGCGTTGGGTTTCTATGAAGTTTTGTCTTTTATTTTTTATTTTGGGATTTTTAATTGAAAAATAGTTGATTGAGAAAGTGGCTAAGTCTTTGGAAATAAAGTCTTGAAAATTCGATATATTTTAGTTATCTTCTTATATTTCTTTATAACTTTTTATTAAAAACATATTATTCCAATTCCAAAATGTAGTTATCTTTTAAAACTTTTCTAAATTAAATATAGCAATTAAAATTAAAATTTATTAATAATGACTTGTGGCAAAAAACAAGCACTTGTGCATATCATTCACTTAAAGTTACACCCAGCTAATTAGCATCCACACAAAAACGGCCTTCATCAATCATCTCCCTCGATTGTCATTCCAACGACCCACATTCCGCCCCACACCACCCACCGCCCCACAGTAAATAAGTTCATTAACCATCCACACACACCCAACTCAGGTTCCACAAAGGTAACCCACAATTAAAGACAGCTCGAATTTCACGCAATTACTAAATACAAAACAATTGCATTGTTTAATGTCAAGTTCAATGCACGCAGACAGTTGGACAGGCAGAAGAGCCACCCACAAAAACACCCATCCATCCTCCCACTGAAAATCCTATTAAATAATAAAAATAAATCGAATGCAATTATGAGTGTGAAAAGAGAGGGAAGGGTAAAGATGTGGAAGGAGAAAACTGTAGAGACAAAGAGAAAGAGAGCAAGAGAGGAAAGCTTTCATGTGGTGACCTCTTCCGAAGAAAATGTAATCAAATCTACACTGGAGAAAACTTGGTCGTACAGAAATACATTGTTATTAAAATATTAGTGCCATAAGTGTCATCAACTTTTTATTTGCTTTTTGACTAGATCCAGTTGGGAATTCTAGTGCCACGAAATGCAGGCTTAAATTATCGGTTTATTAGAGATTTTGTTTTAATATTAAATTTTTTCTCTGATATCAGCTGATTGCCAACATTCTCTCTGGAAGAGAGCGAAAAAGTGGGGATCTCTCGTTTCTAACTCTCCGCAAAAAAAGGTTTTCTGTTATTATTTGTCAGCTGTTGCCCCGTTAGTTGCTTTTACTAGCTCGCTCTCTCTGGTAATCGCCGTCTTTCTCTCTCTTGCTTCGAGCTTTGCTCTGCCTGCGCCGCCGACTTTACTGCTGGCGCTGCCTTTAGCTTCGTTTGCTTTGGTCGCCGCCTTTCAGTTACAATTCGTATTCCAATTGGAACGCCGCGATTTCCTCCGTTCTGTGCACTGCTCCTCGGCCCGTCCGCTTTGCGGCTCTCTTCGCGTCGCGGCTGGTTGCATTTGTATTGGTATTTGCAACAGATTCGCATGCAATTTGTTTGTGCAATTCGGAAAATTGTTATGAAAAGTCAATCAACGGAAAATGCAACACGAAAATCCCAAAAAATTAACAACCTGTAAAATAAAAGTAATATTTGCGAGTCTTGTTTGTTGTCGAACAAATTGAATTTGACCCGCTTAAATCTTGTTAAATTACGTTTTTTTTTAGCTTTAGTCTGTGTTTTTTCATGTTTCTAATTTGCCCAAAAACTGCGAAATGACCTTCCAATGCTGCTGTTGTTGTTTGTGTCTCTTTTGTACATTTTCGGTGCGTGTAATTCGGTCGACTAAAAAAAAAAAAAGGAAAAACAGAAGCACACAATAAAAAAAATTTACTGATGACGCTCAGTTTTAATGATCAAAATGACGTTATATAATCTGTGAAAGAAAAACCATTGACATCAAGTGCAAAAAGTAAATAAACAAATAACTCGAGTCAATTTACAGTTGTGGGATTCCTTGGGTTAATTAAATTAAGTGATTAGATCACTGCCAAATATGCAAATAGGAATAAACTGTGAGCTAAATACATTAACAAGCAATGGAAATTGTCAAAGACTTTGCCAAAATGTAGATACAATAATGCACAAAATTTTAAATAAATAAGAGATTTTTATATGGTATTTATTTTTAAATAAATTTAAACTTATCTGTTTGCTTTGACTGCTTAAATTCAGTTTAACTATCAATTAAAATTGGTTTAATATGCACTTTGTATCCATAAAAACTTTTGGATAACATTTTAATATTTCAATTTGATGAATTAAATACACAAATATTATAACCATATTTTGATATCGAATTATAAATGGTTTTTCCTTTAAAAACACGTTACCCATGGCGTATACGTAATTTATCTGCTTTTCATTTTTTATGATACTTCGCAAACGCTTATCACAAAATGCGATATGCTGCTTCGGCAGACCAAAAATAAACAATAAAAATGATAAAAAAAAGATACAAACTGAAACTGAACATTTTGCAAAGCGTAAAAGCGGTCTGAAAATGTCATTTAAAAATGAATTGAGTATCCAAAATTAAACGGTAAAGGCGACAAATAAATAAAAAATACGGGTAACTGTTTGCAGTTTCATTTATTTCCTTTTTTACCTGATAAGATTCGCTCACGTCAACCTAAAAAAAAAGAGTGAAAACCGAATTAATACTTGTTCAGGCAATAAAAAAACAAACAACAACAACCAGCTGAATCGGAATTAAAATAGTAGGAAAAAAGGTGATAAGCAAGTAACAACAAAAATAAAGGGAGGAAACGCAAATTTGTGAGGAGCCAAGGTGATAAAAATAAAGGCAATTAAAGAGCTCAGATATGGGGGGAAAAGAAGAGGAATAAGAGAACAGATGAAAGAGAGAGAGCGGTAAAAATGTTTAACAATTATTGTAAACAATTCGAGGGAGATATACAATTTATTAGAGATTTATAGAAAAGGGTAAAATGTAATTGGCTAAGGAAAATATTAATTTCTAATGCAACGTTATTTCTTTTTCCTTAGGAAAAATATATTTATATTTATTTATATTTATTCTCTATATAAAAAATCTTTCTTTACAAAATCTTGGAAAATATTTGAAAAGATACTTTTGTCAATTAACTTTTCCTGATCAGAGTAAGATCACCTCTTATCTATTTACAAACAAGTCAACATGAAAACCTTTTATTAAACAAGTTTCAAGCGAACCCTTAATTATTTTAAAAATAGAAATTAATATATGGTCAATCATCATCGCTGATATAGAACAAAATATACTTTTATTTACGGTATTTGGAACGTAACCCATTTGGCGGTGACTGTTCGTTCTGTCAACAGCCGCGAGCCGGCAGCTGTTGAATTTAGCTTATTAAATTTCTGTTGTTTTTAGCAAAATGTTTTGTCCCCAATGGCATATTGACATTTACAGTGAAATAAAGTGAGAAGGGGAAAACACACACACACAGCAAATAAAATAAAAACAAAACATAAGGCAAAAAGCAAGCGGATCGTAACGAAACGCTGACCAAAACAAACGGCAAAAACAATGTAATTGTTGAAACGTATGTAAATCGCCGCGTGCACAAAAAAGTTAAACAAAAGGAAAACACCCAACAAAACAAACACACAATACCCAGTGAAAAGGCTAGTGAGAAGTGAGAAAAATTAGTGGAAAATACAGTAGAGGTCGGCCGGGAGGAGTTGAATCTCGCGGAATAATGCGGCATTTAATCATGACCCCGGCGTCGCTGTCGGCATCGACGCCGACGCTTTCCACACTTCATCATCAGCGCATGGCGCTGCAGTCGCAGTCGTCGTCGCAGTCGCCGCTGACGTCGGCGTCACAGTCTCCGTTAACCCCATCGCAGTCATCGTTTTTTGGCTCGCCCAAGTTCCCAGCGAATTACGAGCGCAGCGAAAAAGTGAGTGCAAAAAATAAACAAACGACAAATTCATAAAAAATCCTAAATTCACAGTAAACAGCGAAACAAATTTAGTCGAAGCTGGAAATACCCTTTATTGATATATTAATATTAATAATTTACAATTAATAACAAATTATGGGGGAACACTTTGGAAGATAAAGCTGTATTTAACTATTACTTTATTTACATAAGATAAAAATACATTTCATTTATTAAATTCATTTAATATTTTATTTGTAGTTTGCCTAATAAAATTATATAAACGTAAATTTTGACCAAATTTTAATTAAAAATAATTACAAATTCCTTTTCACCTCCTTGCGAACTTGTGAGATAATTAAAGTACCCTCTACAAGGGCTTGAGTCATAAAAAAATGTGCAAAAATCACGCAGACTCCAAGCAAAGCTTTAAAAAAAAAAAGGAAAACCAGTGACCCCATCATAAATTACTCCATATTGTTCATGAATGAATCCACGAGCACAGCAGCCGCTTGTTTTCCATTAATTATGGCCCCCGCTCTGTCTTTTGTCCCCTATTTTCGTTGTCGTGCATTTTCCACGCGTTCATTTAATTTTTTGATGCAAATGTCCCCTTTGTGGACCAATAAAAGTTCAACATTTTGGGGAGGGTGAGTGAAGTGCAGATTTTCTAGAGGGTAATTCACCAGATGACATTTCAATTTAAGTTTTTCTCCTTGGGGTTATGGTCGAACTTTGTTTTTTGGCCAACAAGAAGTCAAGCAGCATTTGAAGCCATTGTTTTGGGGTCTTTGAAAGTTTTGGTGTTTTGATAAAACAAAAATAAATTAAATAACTTATTGCGCGTGCATTTCTATATATGGGTTTGTTGGGAATTGAATTTAAAAGGACTTCTCAAGGTCTTCAAAAGTGTTATAAATCAAAATAAATTTCATTATTTATAGTGATTTAATTCTTTTTTCCCATTACTTCAAGCATGCCCTTACCCTTTTAACCTTTATTAAGCCAAAATCGTAGCCTAACCCTTAATTATTATCCATGTTCGATTTTCCTCTGCCGCAAGATAACTTTTCCTTTGGTTTGGTAAATCAACGGAAAACGCAACAAAACTTTTGCAAATGTCAGCAGCGCAATTTGCGGCAAACAATTTTCTAATTTGTTTTCCCCTGTGTCGGGGCCCCAGCTAAAAGGAAAAAATGGAAAAAAAAATCGCTAAAACTTTTCTACGTTCGACTTGCGTAATGCGCAATAATTAATCAAGCTGTGAGCCAGGCAGGCATTTTGATTTAACGAGTTTGATGTCTGTTCTGTTGAGTTCAGTTTCAGGTTTCCGCCCCTTTCGGAGGTGCTCCAGTTCAAGGTCGCATCAGGGGATAATCAAACAGCATTTTCACACGCAGTTTACATTTGCCAATTGAGTTTTTGGTAGATTTAACAAAAAATATATTGTCCCGCTGCCTTTCGATTTCATTATCGGCAACTATTTTGCAGCTTAAATACCATTGTTTTTTCCTTGTTTATTATTTGCCTTGAGATGAGATGGAAACTGGGAAAAATCATTTTCACAGCCGCTTTGAGCTTTTTGGAGCAGAAAACATTGGCTCGCGAGGGGGAGTTATTGTTTTTTTTTTCCTGCATTTTCCGTGTATGCAGATGGATGCTTCTATGCTTTTCCCCCTCTTTCTACACGACTGCTGGACATAATTGCCACCCAGCCACGCCCACCACCCGCAGACCACAGGCATTAGCAACAGCAGCAACTACAACAAACAACTTCATTTACAGCCGTAATTGTTTTGGCCCATATGATCCAGCAGCAGGCACTCCACTCCACCCGCCTAGATGTTGCACATTGCTCATACGCCATGTTATCCGCACTGGCTACTTGGCAAGAGATTGAAAGCAAAATGTGTGTGCATCCACTTTTCCTCAACTCGTCTCGATTTTCCTCTTTTTTTCTGTTCTACTTTTCCGCCAGCTAAAAGCTAAAATAAAACCAATGCAAAGTTAGTTGTCTTGCCAGTCTCGTCGACTGTGTTTTCTTCTAATGACCAGCCTCCCAGTTCGCTGGGAAAGTGTTCATCAAGCCTTGTCTTGTCGTTTATCATATTTCGCCATTAGTCGCAAACGCGACTTTCTAACTGCACAGAAAGTAAAGTGTCGCTTGGCGATCTGTAAGCGTTTATCCCAAGCAAAATGCTGCTTTCTTAGCTGGAGTCGTTGTCGGCTTTTCTTCTTTTCTAAATATGGCCTAAACGATTCTCTGTTTATGGCATTCGAACGAACGAACACGAAGTGAAAACTCTGCGGGCAGTCAATGTTTAATCATTCTTATTTAATTTGCTGAGGAATTGATTTGTCAGCTTTTGATGAAAGAAAAAGATAAAAAAAAAGATTAAATGTTTGTCTGAGAAATGGCTGAGATTGTTGGTTGGTGTTTTAAATGGCTTAAACAAGCTTAAGCGGATCACAATTAGCGGGGTTTACTTTTTTTATTGAGTTGTTGCTGAATGGAATAATGTTAATTGAATTAGACAATGTGATTTTAAAAGAGGTAAGACATTAATTAGATTTTTCTTTAGCTTTTCATATTTTCTCAGTCACAGCAAAACATTCAATTAACTTATCATAGGCATATTCTTATAATACCCAATACTTATCTCCAATAGACCTTCAAATACAACTGACATCATGTAATTATTTTGGCAAATGATTGTTTAATGTTTTGCAATGTGGGTGGAACTTATCACGAAGCAAGTGGGCCGCCGATAACACCCAAGTTTGCTTGTGTTTTCCTTGGCAAGATTATAGACACTCTGGTGAATGTAGCAAAACCCAATATAAAAAAAAAAGAAAATAATAGTGGAAAGAGAGTGCAGGTGTCGAAGGAGCGTGGCAACTTAATTAACTCAATTCGTGTTGCCAAATGTCAGGTTATGGCCAGTAGAGCCGTGTTTGGGTTTTCCCATTTTTACGAAACGTTTTCCTTTTTACTTTTTTTTTCGGATGACTTTTGTGAAAGGAACCGGATGCTTTGCAGGCCTTGACTCTTTATCTTTTTTTTCATTCGCGACCAATAAATGATTAATTAAAATGGATTTTACCATTGCAATTGCCGTTGCCGTTGCCGTTTTAATCTCTCTCGCTTCTTTTCCGCTTTCCACTTGGACACTGCAGTGAGAAGTTCTGAGGAAAATCCATGTCCAGTTCAATGGCTGTGAATAGACCATGGTCTTTGTGTGTTTCCACTTCCAGTTTTCAGCCCTACCCAGCGTCATACATCATTTAGCCATACACATATATTATTTCTTTTTCTCGATTTTGTTGGGCTGCAGAAAAAATAACAGAAAACTGTATCAATATGCGGCATATGGATCATGAGTCAGGCCCAGAAAAATACAGAAAACAGCAGCCAGTTTGGATCGGAACGGCTTGTTTTGTGTGCCCCAACCCAAGTTGGCCTCAAAATGTAACAAAATATGCTTACCACATACAGTGGAGACTCGCAATAAAGCCATAGATGCCATCTTAATGGGAGGGACTGGTTGTTATAAGGGAATTTCCTCTTATCAGAATGTCATCGATGAGTTGTGGCAAGAATAGGGTTCTTTACACAATTTTATTTTGATAATGAAAGTGGATTAGGAAAATATTTTGGGAATATGTTTCTTTTTGGGATGTTGTCATCAATATGAATAAAGAAATACTGAAAAGCATTAATGGAAGTGTCATTAAACTATTTCCCAAATGAAATATGTATCAAATTAAGTGCTAAACTCTTTATCCTCCAAAAAGAAAACCCAAAAATATTCTAAATACATTTTATTTCCGTTCTTGTCTTACAATACCCACTGTACTTCCAATTTATATAAATGCACAACTTTGTAGTTGTTTAAAGCTGCTGCTGCCTTGCTTTACCATTTTTTATTTATTTGTCTTTTATGTCGCTGTCGAAGTTTGGCGTTAAAATGCATTTTTCCTACCCAGACAGCACACAGCGAAAAAAAACGTGCGGCTCGTTTAATTGAAAGGCTTTTGGGCAAGCGACAAAAAACACGACGAATATCGAAAGTCAAAGCGACCGCTCCCGGGGTCTTACCACCTCTTTTCCCCACTCGATCTCTAGATTGCAAACTTCAAGATTAGACAATGTCAGCGATTGAAACAATATCCGAGTTTTAATTTATGCCAGAGCTCTGGGCTTCGCCCGGCTTAAGTCTATAAGCCTTTGGTAACCGAACAATGAGTCGGGCTTTAAAGGAAACCACTCACTCAGCGGCCAGAGACCACCACCACCCACTGGAGTCAACCCCAAAATCACCTACGACCTGAAACCCTAACTAGAAGTGGAAATGTATTAGCCTTCTTTGGGTTACCCTAAAAAATATAGGGGATTTCAAAGGACTTGTGTTTGTTTGGGAAATGTGTAAAGAGGCTCAAATAAAATGGAAATATAAATAAAGATTAAATATGTTATAGTTTTTCTTTTAACTAACTTGTTTATCTGGTTTACAAAACATTATAAAGACTCTTATAAAAAATGCTAAATAAAATGCATTGTTTAGATAAAATTGTATTACAACTGATACTTAGTCAAGTTTATGTATGCCTTAAATTAAGTTTAATTTAAATAATTAGAGTAACTTCATCTTCGCTTTTGATTACCTTTTTGCTTTCTGTTCCGATCTCCTTGGGGTTTCTCTCTCCCTTCGTGGCTTAGTGCCTCGACTTGCATTTTGCCTGGGGCGCTAATATATGCTAATCCCCAGTGCGCTTTTGGACCCGCCGACACACCCACGCAAAGGCAATGAAAAGCGCTGTGGAAAAAGCGGAAAACAGCAGACCAGTCTAGGTAGAGTAGCCTTTGCTGCCGTTTTGGGAAAGTCGCTGCCGCCATCGTCTTTCCTTTTACTTTCAACTTTTCCCCAGTTTCCACTGCTCTGGAGCGGCTTTTCGCTGACGAATTTACATCTAGGCTTCGCTCTCCTATTGAAAAATCTGTAAGCCGATATCTATAT